ATGAAACTTAATATTTTGACTTTTTTGATGTTACTCCGTCTTGAACAAGTGTCTGTGAGTTTTTGTGGGTTGAAAATATATGAGAATGCCATTACTACTTATCTATGTAGTTGTTTTTTGTTTTCCAGTTGCATTATGTATGTTGCTTTATCTGGGAAGATGTCTTGATGGTAGGGTTAACAGATCTTATGAGTTGTGAATCCCCAGTGATATTTCTTTTGTACTAGAGTGAGTTGATAATTTCTAGTGTTGGGAGTGTTTCTTTAATTTTGGTTGTCTACTAAGTTGTACAGACGACGAAATGGCTGAGAGCATATTATACTGTTAACCTGCATTTGTGTAAAATTGAAAAGCAATCCATAATTTAGATGCTGTAAAAATTTGAAGATTGCAGTAACAATTTGCAGATTGCTATAAAAATGCAGATTGCTAAATGGTAAAAATGCAGATTTTGTAAATGGTAAAAATGCAGATTGCTAAATGGTAAAAATGTGCTAACAACTTTTCCATTACAATCAAGAGATCAACAAGATTGCTAACAACTTTCAACAAGCAAAACACGATGACATTACATCAGTTGTAACCTGCAGATTGCTAACATTACATCAAAATACTAATGACTACACCACACTACTAGAACAGAGCTACACCAAACTACTAACGACTACACACTACTCGAACAGAGCAACACCAAACTACTCGCGACTACACATTACAAACGATCCAAGAAAAGAAGTTCAAACATAACTACAGTACACTACATCAACTTGGCAGCTACAAAACCAACAATAATATCCCAAGAGATCAGAATCAAGCTTATCAATTGAAGCCCTTTAAATTCCCACTTCAGTTTATTATCATCTAAGTTCTTCAAATTAGAACATTCAATATGATGTTCCAACTCCAAGTTTGAAACTTTATCCTCCAAATTTGAATTTTCAAAAAAAAAATCATATCATTCAAATTAGAATCAATGTTTGGTTTATGAATTTCAATGCCACCCATTTCCTTTAGGATCTTCTTCAATTGGTTTCTTTCCTTCCGAATTGAATCTAATTCAATCTTTTGATTGTGAGTCATCAATGACACATGACTTGGAAGTTTACTATCGATCCAATCCAATAACCACAAGATAATGAGCCAGGACGACAACATTTGAAGAATCGACGTCCACCATTCTCACGGCTCATAGCAGTAAAATATTTTGATATCAATCCACACTTACATGTATGAGACTCAACTTGTTGAGGAGAAGAAACAGAAGAAGGTGTCAATATTGAAACAACACAAAATTTAACAAATCTGATGAAGAAGATGATTTCCAAAAGAGCTCCAAGAACTAACTGATGAAGTTGGGGGGGAATGTTTAGGGTTTTGTTTAAAGAAATGGGTAATGGGTGTTTTATTTGGATGGGTTGGGTATTTTGAAGATGGGTCGGGTGAATAGGGTGGTTTGGGTCAAACAAATTAGGCATTAATTAATTAAATTTCCAACCAATTACAACATGCCACGTAATAAACGAAATAATTAAATATATTTACTAAGTAGTCTGTTAGTCAAAAGGGCAAAATAGGTCCCTAAAGGTTAACCCCAAGGGTATTTTGAGGCCAAAAGTTAAACGAGGGGTATTTTTGTACCAATTCTGATACTATAAGGGTATTTTAGACCCTTCTCCGTTAATATACCCATTATTCCCACATTAAATTATAAGATTAAATGCATGTACTGAGATGTCAAACTTTTGTACATGAAAAGTACCTTTACGTTCTTTTGAAGTTAAAATTAACTTACATCTACAAGCAAGCACGTGGCTTGCTTTTCGTCTTTTATACGCCCATTAATTGTCCAGAAAATTGTTACATTTTGCCTACGAAAATTATGGTAACACTTATTTTTATTATACTCAATCAAAGTACAAAAAAATTTTACTAGTATATCTTGATTTTCTAAAATAACAATTAAAATTTTTAAATTTTTATTTTTAATAAGGACGATAAGTAAAATGATTAGACAAATCTAACAAGTTAGTTACCATTTATTAAAAATTATCAATTAATATTTCTATGAAATAGAGTTACCTACAATATAATTACCTCTTTAATTGAACTCTTCAAAGCTAGCAAGGGGGTTTCAAGGAAAACATGGATTGTGGTACAAGGGTGGAATTACTTTATTCTTAATCAGAGATATCGGGTTCGAGCTTTGGATATAAAGAAAATTTTGTTGGGAACGTTACTCCCAAATAGGTCTTACAATACACGATCTAGATTTAATTAGAACTTTAATAAGAGCTCCATACATTGAGTGAGATATAAAAAAAAAAACACGTAGTAAACTGTCCAAACCTTGATTAATAATGTATACTAGTAATTTAAAAGGAAAAAATAATTTGGAAGCTATATTTTTCTATTATATAGAAGAGTGAAGTGATAGGACGATCAAGGGTAAAAATGTAAATTCATTCTAACAAAAATCTATTAAGAAAGATAGTAAATAATTCTAGAAACATCTTTCTATATATGAAGTGAATAATGATCAAGGGTAAAAATGTAATTTCATGCTAACAAAAATCTACCAAGAATGATAACAAGAAAATTATATAGTTCTAGAAACATCTTTAGTTATTGTTATTATCATTAATTTATTTTGTTATTACTTCACTTTCTAATCTTTTGTCAGTTATTGTGATATCTATTCATTATTCTATTTTACTATTACTTTAATTTAATTCTTAATATTTTTTCTATTCATTATGCTTATCAAAAATGCCTACTTTTAATATAAAAATTTATTATAAATTAATTATTTTCACCTTTATTTTGGCTCTAATTAATATACTTGAAAATAAATAAGTGTAATAAAATTAATAATATATATAAGATTTAAATTAAAGAAAGAGATGTTAAAAAGTAACTTTACAAATAAAAATGAACAGGATGATATATTTGCATTTAAGACGACCAAGAATAAAAATATAATTTCATTCTAACAAAAATCTATTAAGAGAGATTAGCAAGAAAAATAAATGATTCTAGAAACATCTTTCTATATATGAAGTGAATGATGATATCAAGAAAACTAACTAGTTCTAGAAACATCTTTAGTTATTGTTATTACTATTAACTCATTTTGTTATTACTTCACCTTTTTTATTATGAGTTATTGTGATATCTATTCATTACTCTATTTTTACTATTACTTTAATTTAATTCTTAATATTTTTTCTATTCATTATACTTACAAAACTCCCTATTTTAATATAAAAATTCATTATTTAAAAATATAATTAATTATTTTCACTTTTATTTTAGCTCTAATTAATATACCTGAGAAGAAATACGTGTGATAATTAATAATATATATTAGATTGAAATTAAAGAATAAATAAAAATAGTTTCAATATTTAAAAATATATATTTTAAAAGAATGTTAAAAAAGTAACTTTAAAAATAAAATGAATAAGATGGTATATTTGCATTTAAAGTAAACTAAAAATGTTTACTAGATTATAAAAGAGTAGTTCTTCATTAAATTATATAATCAAATTTTTACTTTTATGTGATTTCAAAGATATTAATATGAATAGTGAACTAATGTAAATTTGATTTAAATTTAAAATTATCCGGCCAAAATTTGATATTTTTCTATTATACAGAAATATAGAAATATGAAGTTGAGGACAATCAAGGATAATATGGTCATTTCATATATATTTTATTTTAAAATTCTATAATTCTATTTTTAAATTTGTCAAAATATTTTTTCAAGTGGCTAAATTTTCTCCATAAGTTACATGATTATTCTAGAAATTATAAATTATAAGATTTTTCTAGAACTAACCATGACACAAAGAAATAGACACTAACGCATTCTTCATTTCATTCACTCCTCAATACCCTCTCATGTGTTATACCAATAAATTCCTCGCCCTTTATTTCTAATTTGTATCCTAAATATTACACAGTTCGGTATAGATCTCTTATTAGGAAGACCAATAATGCAATTTTTTTCAACATTAAGAACTTCATTTTTTTATCAATTTCCTACATAATGGCCCTACTTTTAGTAAAACAATTATAAGAAAAAAGTAAAATTCACTATTTCTTAGTGAACACATCACTTCTGGGACTTGTCCATATAACAAATTTTCAGCAAAATTCAACTGATCCACATTTTTCAAACACTCTAATGAACATGATAATGAACCAATTAACATGTTAAATCCTATATTAATCACAATTGCAATTCTCAAAAGGCCTAATTCATAAGGAATGCAACCAGTGAACAAGCTCTTCAAGAAAAAAAATTCCAATAATTTCGAAGCATGTTATGTCATTTTCTTTGGTCTCTTTAGACTTTTCAATTTTATGGTGTTGCTTTTCTTTTTGGATTGTAAAGATAATTTTTGAAGTATCTAATTTACTTGATTTCTCTTTTTATGTATAATCCCAAAACTTCACGTGCCATATATGCCATTATATAATTTATTGAGAAACATATATTTATTTATTAATATTATTTTATCATCAGTTAAAATTATTTTGAGCAAGTTATATAAATTATTATTTTAACTACCTCATGTTAAATTACTGCAATATATATTATATTAATTTTTGTTAATATTTTTGAATTCTCATTATTTGAGGTAAAACATTCATTCATCAAGTATATAAATTAATTTAGAAAAAAAAATTACTTACTATATTAAATTGTTCTCCTAATTTTAATGGATATAAAGACGAGATATATAGGGATCGTGTATTATTTGGGCAGTTTGATTAAATTTTTCCATAGATCACCACTACACTCATTTTCCATTAGTTTATGACCATCACATGCTATGTTACTAATTGTCATTCCCAATAAAGTGAAACGTAATATTTTCATCTTGACTCACTTTGTTTTAGTTACTTTTAAGACGTTGAGTAACAATTTAATTTTAAATTGTTTATTTTATTTTTTTTAAAAATGATTTATAATTATACAAATATCTATCACTTATTTTAAATCACCTAATTTCAAAAAAATAATCTTAAACTCCGTATCAAGTTAAACTAGGACCAAGAAAATAGCGAGCTATAATATCAATCTCTTTTTCTATAATCATCAATCTATCAACTACGTACTGAAGAAAGAATGTCTACTACAAGCTGCAGCTCTCCAATATTCTTAACAATATTTTTGTTTCTTCTCTTCATCCTATACATCTCCACACTAAATTATAATCATTCCATCATCACATTTTCCTCTCATCCAACAGATAATCAACAAGCATCCCTCACTCATGTTACTCATCATGTTAATAAGGTGCGTATATATAGACTTTACGGACATTTACAAAGTGTGTTAATTGTCATATTTAGCAACAATTAAACTATTGTTGCTAAAGATCATTTTTGACGTAGTCTGTACGGTTTAAGTGGCGTAGCCACATGTAATAAATATGGGTGGCCAGTCAAACACCTTTCGTCGAAAAATTATACAAAAATATTTTTCGTATGTATATATTTTATCTTGAACCCTCTTAACTAAATTTCTGGCTTCGCGACGGTATGGTTTACTATTTTATAATTTGCATGAACAGAAGAAGAGTAGTGTAGAAAAAATTGAAGAAGATTTAGGGAGAGCAAGAGCAGCTATACGGAGAGCTATTCGTTCAAGAAACTATACTTCTTATAAGGAAGATCAGAATTTCATTCCAAGTGGATCTATATACAGAAATTCATATGCCTTTCACCAGTTAAGTTTTACAATTTATATATTCTTTTATTTTACTCTCTATATGTTAGGTAAGACACAAATTATTTTGCAAGGAAAATATTTTCTGGAAAAAAAGTATATCTTGATTAAAAGTAGTGTAATAATACACTACAAGAAAAGTGAGAATTACATGGGGATTTTTCTGAGGATTAGTATGAAAATTTGCAGGAAAATAAGTTTCCTATGGATTTTCATACTAATCCCCAGGAAAATCCCCATGTAATTCACACTTTTCTTGTAGTGTATACGAGCAAAATATGGATAGTGTTTTGCTGAAAATTTTGAGTATTAATTAATATTGATAACAATGTCTAAATACTAGCGACAAACTCCTATCTATCTTTCATTATGGTATTTCTGAACAAGTTCAGAATCACGAAATGCATGTTGTTGGCAATGGCGTAGCCAGAAATTTCATTAAGGGTGTCCAAACTTTGAATAGTAATTTTTTTTTTAAAACGACGATTTAAATTACCAAAACAAATAATCAAATTAAGCAATATTTAATTAAATATAATAATATTTTTAATAGAATTACAAGTGTATAATTCAAAACTAACATAAAGACAAAATAAACTACTATTGAAAACATAATTTAAATATATTATTACAATGGTACTCGACGAGGTTTCATATCCTGAAACGTTTTTATAATAGACTCATTAGAAATAGTATGAAATACTTTCTTTTCTGCATAAGGCAATATACAACCGTCTAAAAACTCATCATCCATCTGATTTCGCAAATTTTTAATATACTTCATTTCTGAGAAACAAAACCTTATTCCACAAGGAAAAAATATTAAATTTAAGAAAATCTTATTCCACAAGGAAAAGGTATTAAAATTTAAGGAAATAATTCAATTTTAATTGAAAAAAATCCACAAGGAAAAAGTATTAAATTTAAGGAAATCTTATTCCACAGGGAAAAGGTATTAAATTTAAGAAAAACAATTCAATTTTAACTGGATTTTTTTTTTTTTTGTGGAGATAAAATTCGAACTTGGGTCCTTGAAGCCAATAATAACACTGTTAACCACCAAGCTACTGAACATTTCTATTAAAGTTACGCATGTTTATTTAATTACCAAATTCAAGAAGGTAAAATAATTACAGAAAATTGAAACACTCCTACAGGGAATCAAACTGGGGCAGAGAGTAGGTTTGCGACGGCTATAGCCAGCTCCACTACACATTACTTTGTTATTAAAGGGTGTCCAAATTCTATATATACAAATATAAAGTCAAAACTTTACGTGTATATATAGTATAATTTTTCAACACAGGGTGTCCAATCTCCGCCCCTGGTTGTTGGTGTACTAATGACAATTATATTTTAGCACTATTTGTAAATGTCACTAAAGTCTATAGAGGTTTTTGATCTAAAGAAAATTAACTAAAGTCGGTAGAGACTAACACTCTTTGTTAATGTGCATATTTATTGTTGTTAAAAACTATTTCTATAATGCAGGAGTTATATAGAGATGATGAAGAGATTTAAGGTTTGGACATACAAGGAAGGGGATTTGCCTATGGTACACAATGGACCTATGAAAGAGGTATATGCAATAGAAGGTCACTTTATTAGTGAAATGGAGAGTCAGAATAAAGGGGAAAACAAACTATCTTTTTTGGCTTCCAATCCTGATGAAGCTCATGCATTTTTTTTACCAATAAGTGTAGCATATATTGTTCAATATCTTTTTATTCCAGGCACAAATCATATTTTCAGAGAAAAACTACAAAGGGTTGTTGAGGATTACATTCACATAATCTCTAACAAGTATCCTTATTGGAATAGAAGCAATGGTGCTGATCATTTCATTGTTTCTTGCCATGACTGGGTACGTACGCGTTCACTCGCTCTAACGAAAGTGACACATATTTCTGTTGTGAATCGTAAAGTTGAGGAGTATGTAGGGAACATGCTCAAATATGTCATTGAACATTGAGAAAAGGCTCATCTATGTCGTCTATTAAAATTTTGGCTCATTTATGCCATTTCTATTTGAGGAAAGGCTCATCCATGTCATTATTTGTTGACGGAAAACATTTATAATTTTGCAAAACCATTTTTTACACGTGATCAATTATGATTCGACCACATCATTAATAAAATTATTTTTTGAAAGAAAAAAACTAAAATATGTCATCAAACTTTGAGAAAAGACTCATCTATGACATATGTTAAAAGTTTGACTCATCTACACCATTTAAGTTAATAAATAATGACATGGAGGAGCCTTTTCTTAAATGAAAATGACATAGATCATGAGCCAAACTTTTAACTAATGTCATAAATGATTCTTCTCACAAAATTTGATGGCATATTTCAGCCTTTTCCCGAATATGTATTCCCCCTTTTCCCTTAAGATAATATACATTTTTTTCGGTACCAATAATATCTGCTCTAATTCGTAAAGTTGAGGTGTATGACTATTTGGGAACTCAATTCAGGCACCAGAAATCTCCAATGGAAATCCAAAACTCTTCAAAAACTTCATCAGAGTGTTATGCAATGCCAATACCTCAGAAGGATTTGAACCCAAAAGAGACATTTCATTGCCTGAGGTCTATGGATTAGCCAACACACTTAATCTTGCACCACCAGACTTAGGATTACACCCGAAAAATCGCCCTATTCTTGCCTTCTTTGCTGGTGGAGCACATGGATACATTAGACAAACTTTACTTCAACAATGGAAAGGTAAAGATGACGATATTCGAGTACACGAGTACCTCCCAAAGGGTCAAAATTACACAAATTTAATGGGACAGAGCAAGTTCTGTTTAGCTCCTAGTGGATATGAAGTTGCAAGTCCAAGAATTACTGAAGCTATTTATGCAGGATGTGTTCCTGTTATAATTTCGGATAATTATTCTTTGCCATTTAGTGATGTTCTTGATTGGAGTCAATTTTCGTTGAGTGTTCCAGTTAACAAAATCGAAGAATTGAAGACAATCTTACAAGGAGTTTCTCGCGGTAAGTACTTGAAGATGCAGAAAAGAGTAAGGAGATTGCAGAGGCATTTCAAGTTGCATAAGCCTTCTCAGCCCTTTGATGTAATCTATACACTACTTCACTCAGTGTGGTTAAAGAGACTTAATCTTAGATTGACTACTAATTGATCAAAAATTTGAATCAAAAGTGTCTGATACAAATGTGTTTAAGTGCTCAATTAGAACAAGTCAGAATTTGAGTGTCTGAATGAAATTTCGTGACACCTTTAAGGGGTTATATATCCATGTATTATGACAAAATGTTATTGTAGTCTTTAGACACTTCATTTATAGTAATGGATATAGAAAATTCATGTCATTCAATTGAATTGATTTGAGATTGAAGTTTAGTTATTAAGCTTTCGAGCTAAGAATTCTATTATCTATGGAGAATTTCTAATCTAATGTTTTGTTTTATAGTATTTGGGACAAAGTAATAAAAGTGGAGGAGGTCAACTATCTAAACACACCTCTACCAACTACTCCTAACTCAATCTTCCTACTTGCGCAGTTTCGCAAAAATATGAATATCTCTCTACTCTAAAGTTATACTGACAATCAGTTTAATGTGTTAAAAACTAGATTCATAGACCTTTAATTTGATAGATATAAGACCCTATAATACCTTACATTTATTGGGAGAGATATTCTTATTCCTAGTTAGACTACATATGAGATTATTAGAAATACTTCCTCGTAATAAAACCTTCAACTATAATTTTTGTTTCAATGCTCCCTTTGATCTCAAACTTTGGTATAACTCTTCAAGTAACTTAATATAAGTGTTCCTTAGTTTAATAATCCATTTACAACTACTCTCTTGACATCCCAATCAACGGTGACCTCAAACAATAAGATAAGACTTATATGTCTTTGGCAGCCTAATTTAAATACTTAGAATGTGTGGGGCGTTCATCCTTCCACCCTAAGGAACATTCGTCCCTCTAATAGGAGTTAGACTCATAAGGCTAAGTCTCAAAGATTCACCATGTGTTTGGCCCCAAATTTGTCCAAAAATATTTAATTATTTCAAAAAATATGATTTATACTCATAAGTTCTAAAAATTATTAAAAACACTCATAAATTTATATTATCATTTTATAATTAATAAGTTTCATTAAAAAATAACCTTATAATATAATTGATAACAATAGGCAAGACAATATATTAATCTCATACTTAAACTTATCATTGATTCAGTTATAGTTATAACCCATGAAACACCAATTGTTCCTTTTTCTCAATTTTATCACTCAAATTAGAACTCAAGCTTTTTCGGAGGAGATAGTAACAAATATTAGTTGGAATTAATAAATAATGGATAATTTTTTTTTATAAAATATTAAGTTTGGGGTAATTTGATTTTTTTAAAATTTTCAAATATTAGAACTTGGCCCAAATACTAGTGTTTTTCTAGTATTTGGGAACTTGCTATACTTGACAAATATATTTGTCAAGTTATATGACCAAACATCACTTCCCAAGTATTTTCCAAATTTTTCTCAAGTATTCTTGGGGTCAAACGGGTCCTAAGTGTGTGGCAGATGGATCGACATGGAGGTTGTATATATAATATATGGGGAAACTACATAAATGGGCCATAAAATCCAAAATAATTACAAGTTCATACCCAAACTCAAAGTAATTCCTGAAATACCAATTCTCTCATAAATAATTACAACTCATACCCCCTATTTTTTAAGGCTGATAATTTTCGCTTAACTGATACTAAGTCAGTATCATATATTGTATTGGTATCATTAAAGCTAATAATTTCGCTTAACTTGATACTAGATCAATATATATATACTATATTGGTATCATGGAGGTTTCTTGTTCAGAAATTACTCATTAGTCAATGATACTATAAGAATATATGCATATTGTTGTGGTATCATTAAGGTTTCTTGTTCAAAAATTACTCATTAATCAATGATACTATAAGAGTATACTCTTGGTATCATTGATTAATGAGTAATTTCGAAACCTTAATGATATCAATACAGTTTATATGTATACTGATTTAATATCAATTAAGCGAAATTATTAATGGTACCAAATTACCAATATAGTATATGATACTGATTTAGTATCAGTTAAGCGAAATTATCAGCCTTAATGATACCAATACAGTATATGATACTGATTTGGTATTAGTTAAGTGAAATTAGTTGGGGGTATATAGTGTAATTATTTAGTGGAGTATAAATGTAAAGGGCATATATTTGTAATTATTTTGTTTTTATGGGGTATTTGCTTAATTTACCGTAGATATATCTCATGCAGTGGTGTGAGAATCAACAATTAGAGTGTTCAAAAAATCATTCACATGACTATCTGGTCTCTAATGCCACTTGGTTATTGTAGCTGCAAGTGTCCCAATTGGCATCCAACACCCTCATCAAATTTAGGTTGCATTCCCTTGAATGTGGCATTTTCTAATTTTCATTTACCTGCTTTTTGCACTTCTATTATACAGGCAAGTTCCCGTTGCCGTCAGAGATGTATATCTTTGTCAGGTTATAAGTGCTTATTGACATTTGAATGGCCATAAAATTCGGTTTAGTTGTTTGAAGTTTCAAATTCAACATTCTTATTTTATGTTTAACATGTTACCTTTTTTTTTTTTTTTAATCTTTGATTCAAGTATATGTTGATGAAAAATGGAAAGACAAATGAAAGTCATTGTGTATGAGTTGTAATGCTATATGCTCAAGTAATTATGTTTCATTATTTAGATTTGCCAAACTTGGTATGTCCCAATTTATACGACGCACTTTTTATATTAGTTAGTCTAAAAAAATGACATATTTTTATATTTAGTAACAATTTAACTTTAAAATGGTTATTTTATCCTTAATGAAATAATTTATAGTCACCCTTCGGATGGCCCAGTGGTTTGGGCTTGGGACTTCCATGTTGGAGGTCTCAAGTTCGAAACCCCTTGCCAGCGAAAGCAAGGGGTTTGCCTTCTGGGTCGAGCTCGTCGCATCGGGCTAGCCTAGTGCGGGTTACCTCTCCTATGTGATTTGCGAGATATTGCATAGGAGCATGGATTTTACCCTGTGCGCACCCAAAGGATAGCGCGCTGCAGATTTTCCTTGTCATCAAAAAAAGAAATGATGTGCACGGGCCCAACAATTTAAATAGATTATTTGATTTTTATGTTTTTTTTTTGTTATGATCTAATAAGCACATAAATAAATCAAGCTTTGATATACTACCATATAAAGAAAAAAGAATTTCACATTGTATTCGGTATATCCAGTTGTTGCTCATACCTCTCAAAATCACAACCATGAATATATCCATTCAACATAGATTTACCAGCACATGTGTTGTGCATGCTATATCTAAAAGAGTTGCATCTTCAAATGAGCTTACAACAATTTAACGATGAGACATATGTTAGGCCAAAATAGAAATTTTGAAGAAACTTTGCAACCAAGATCACTTCAGCAAAATCTTGTGCTTCAAAAATTGTATTAGAACCAATACCATTTTATACATATGAAAGAACACATAAAAGTCTAAGAGGACTTGTCATGGCAAGTAAAATAATTTAGCTCTGTCATATATTTTTGTACACAATCTATATGACAAATTTCCTTACTATAGTACTTTTCTCTTGTTTCCCCCTCATGTCATACCATATGCTTCTCTTTCTTCTCTCCATTGTCACCAACACTTCACCAACAACAAAAAAAACTCATTAGCTCCCATAGAAAAATACCAACAAATCCTAAATAAGAAACAGAGGAAAAACATGGTTATGCACATAATCACAAAGAAGACATTGAGAAGTACACATGCCCAAATTTAGCTTCCACTATAACACAAAACTTGCAAATATCAATACCATCTAAAATCCTCAATCTAGAACCTAGGTAAATATAAAGCCCCAACTAATAGGCCATGTGAATATCTTAAATGGATTCATGACCCAAGATTTGAGCGCCGAGCTCGGTTAGTGATGAGCTGACTCCTAAATTAGCCTAGGAATAGGCATGCTAGTTCCAAGAATTTATTAACCAAGCAAATTTAGCATCAACATGTATAGTAGTACCTCGGAGGAGCACGTAGAACATCTATATAAAATCTTTCAACTACTCAATTTTACATCAAGAAGGAGAAGTGCTCGTTCGTTAAGAATTGCCCACTCTCACCACCCAATTAGTTTCAAGATCCAACAAACTGAAAGTCTCATAAGCTATAAGAATTCTTAATTCCAAGACACATTGGACTGTAGAGTTGCAACATAAAAAGAGATAAAAATGAAAAATTAAGAAAGAAGTGTTAAAAGTATTCAGATGATAAACGAATTTCCACTAAACTTATCAATTGTAGCTAGTGCCGGCAAAATGAGCCCATATTTTGGTAACCTGCCCATATTTTAATGAGTTGGGTGAGTGATTTTTTACATGGGTAAAATATGAGTTGATACTCATATTCAACCCATAAAAATATGGGTAAAGTATGGGTTAGTCAAATGAGTTAAGCTTCTAACTTTTATTCACTATAAATTTATGATATCACTAAAAATATTGTAATTTCTCTTGCCTTTTATGTTCTTCTATAGAACTAATTATTTTTCACTATAATTGAAAATGTGAAGTCTTTGACCCTCCAAAAATATATATTTTAAATGTACATTTCTTTTGTTACTTATAATTATACTTTTTTATTTGTTTAATTTTATATTGGATAATAAATAATAGTGTAAAATAAGCAAATCATGTATTAGTATTGACATTGCTTAAAGTGTATTAAGCATGTTTTAGTCCTAAAATGTAAATAGTCATTTACTTTGAAATTAAAAATATTTTCCCCTTGTTATTACATAATTTTATTTTATATTGAAAAGTTATAGGATTTATTTTTTAATTTTATGATACAATAAATCTAAATGAAACATTTTCAACATTTTTCATCTAAAAATAGACTAAAATATTTTATCCATGTTGAATTCTTAAGTAGAGTACTATTTACTCATGAAATATGGGTAAACTAGTATTTTATCCAACCCATTTCTTACCCAATCCATTTTTACCCATATCAAATATGGGCGAATTGAATTATTACCCATTTTATATTGACCCATTTTCAACCCGCCCAAATTTGACCCAACCTGCCCATTTACCATCACTAATTGTGGCTAAAAGAGTAGTTTATTTTTATAGTTAAAAAATCCTAAGCAATAAGTTTTTTTATTTTATAATTACGTTATATGTAAAAAAAATAAAAATAGATAGTAGTTAAATATCATTGTAAATGACATTTATATTAGGGAAAATTAAATATTAACTCAATTGTCTTCTTCTTTATTATTGTTCTTCACTAGTATACGTACCCGCGCGTTGCGCGGCTATATATTAATTTAGAATTATTTTAATTTAATAAAATATCAAATACTTCAAATATTTTTATATATTGTCCTTTATTACTTTTATGTTGTATTAATAAATTAATATTTTTCATATTAAAAAATTAATATTTAATTTTTTTTCACATGAAATGTAAAATATCATAAGATTAAATGACATGTTAGTATATTTTGAATATTTATTTTTCGAATCCAAAACATTCTTTACATTCTGAAATTTGCGTCAAACTATAATAGAAAAATGATTTAATATAGAGTGGATATAAATAATGTAATAATAATACATGTACTTGCTATATACATTTTCTTATTAATCATTGAAAATAATTAATTAATTAGTTTGTTATATTATTTTTTAAAACATTAATTTAATCTCTTAAACTTTCGCAGAAGAAAATAATAATTTAAATTTTAATCAATGATTAGATGTCGAGGAACTTATCAATTTTTCTAGTATTCTAATATAGTAATTATTGCGTAAATTCCTGTTATGACTATTATAAAATTTATCATAATTTTTAATACTTATTATTTTAATACAACGTGTAATCTTTACTTATTATTTTCTTCCCATTGTTATTTTTGTTTAATTATATTACAAATAATACTAACAACAATTTCTTTTTTTATTAATGTAAAGATAATTTAATATAACGTGTAATTTTTACTTACTATTTTCTTCCCAATTTTATTTTTTTAATCATCTATAAATAATAGTTACAACAATTTATATTTTTATTAACGTAAAGATTTTGAGTAATAATTCTTCTTATGTTCTATTAATAATAATGATCGAAATTATTCACTATTAAAGTTTCTACATAATTGATATAAAAATTGAGGTTGCATACAAATAAAAACATGTTTGAACAAACAAAATAATTATATGCACTATTAGAGAGTACCTTCTAGTCTTATACTAGGGTAGGGAGGCCCGTGCTAGTAAAAATATTATACTTGTAAAAATATTGTAATATTAATGAATCAAGGGTCAGGGCGTTTTGTAGAAGATAGATAATATGATCTATTATATTATGTACTATTAGAAATATTCAGAATATGTACAATAGACACAAGTACGATGTCGACTTGAACGATTTGCATATACTAAGTAATGTAATATAACCAAAATAATATAGTACATGTTGCAGTTTTGGTATATAAGATTAGCATGTCATTGTCTAGCATATTTAGAGGACACTGCAGTTTGCTTGTCCATAGGTAACCTTCCTGATGCAAAAAACTAGAGCATAGGGAGAGTCAGTCATTATATTGTCCCTAGCATAAGCAAAAGTGACAAAATGGTGTGAGGGAGTTCCTGTAATTACACAGTTTTAAGTATGTTAGAAAGTGCAAATATGGCAACAGATAGCAAAAGCAATTTTAATATAGGGATCAAATAGAAAGAAAATCATGGAATCAGCATAAAAGTGATAGATTTGCTGTTGAATATGTGTGTGATTGGCCTAATAGTCTATGGTGAATGAGGTTAGCTAGTAGACACAAAACCTCGTTCCTAATTCTTCCTAATTGATAACTGTGTGTTATAGTGTATGACATCGTAAGAAAGTAGAATAAGAGAAAATGTAGAAGAATGTATGCAGTGCAAGTTATCCAGAAAAACATGTAAATAGGCTTATATTGCAGTGTGAAATGACAAATATTAACGAAAGAGCAAAATGAGGGTACAGTTTTATGCTATCAGAAAGACACAGCAGACATAAGGATTTCTTTGACTGTGATTTATATGAATGTGAGCAACATTGTTCATAATAAAATGTCAAAACTGTAATTCTGTTTTTTATAGTTGAAAGGCAGTTTCATTGGATGTGAGTTGAGCTGTTGCAAGGAGTAGAATTAGGAAGGAGTTAAAAATTAGTGTCAGTGTGCAAAAGAGCTGCTGCTAACTGTGAAGTAATGAAATTGGTGAATTGTTGTAACTAAAAAAAGCTAATTCAAACAGTCAAACATGAGAGGAGGAATTAAAAAGAATTGTAACCAATTGATTTGAGCATGGATATGAACATGGATAGAGAGTTTTTAGCCCTGAATTAATGTAAGACTGTGCAATGTTATGTCAGACATAAACAAAACAAAATTGTGAAATTTGAAAGCAGATAAGAGCAAGTGCAAAAGCAGCAGTATAACACAAGTATGACACTTACAACGTTTTACAGGAACTATGTGGATACGTGTATAAAAGAAGATGTGTACAAGTAGCCAAGGGGAATGAGAGATCACCTTAGCGCAAGTTATGTCAAATATGTCTTCCGCTGTCATGGAGAGTAATTTTTCTCCCAATTCACCAGATATGGATGATGTGGTTGTAGCAGTACCATCAATAAGATCAATTTGAAAGACACAGTTGAAAGCATGGAAAGTTTAAAATTTGGGTATAACATACGCTATATTTTGTAGAAAGTATAATTTACAAGTCAAAAGTATAGTACCGAGGCACTAATGCTGATTTCCGATTGCATTTTTGACATTCAAAATCCTTTCTATCCTTTGTGCGCTTCTTCTGCTTGCATCCTGAGTATTCAAGCACACAAAACTGTTGGAATTCATTTGATATGGCCATTTCTGCCTCAACATAGAAGAGTCCCATCTGTCGGAAAATATCATATACATAATACGTGTTGAATTAGTCATGAGTAAATACAATTTGTTTTTATTATTTAGCCAAAGCTAGACAGTTAGAAAAAAAATAAACATACTCTTAAATGATCAGGTTGAAGTATGACTCACAGAAGCTGCTGATGACATTTGTGCAATAGAGATAACTTGTTGTCCGGCAGGAGTTACTACCATGGGAGGGGCAGATGAGCTTGTTGAGGTTTTGTTTGACGGACGACCTAACAACATTGTTTTGTTTGCTTTTGCCCTATTGTTACAGCAGATAACATGTTTAGTAGGTTCTTTACGTGCAAATTAAAGCTGGAGAAGAATGATGAAATGTGAGTACCAGTTGATGAGTTCTATTGCCTGTGGGTAATTAGGATCCAAACGTATTGTGGAATAGAACATACTCTGCAGTGACAACCCTGTATAATGCATAGCTTGTATAATGTTTTGTTATTATCTAAAATTATGTTGGTAAAAAGTGCAGTGTAGCTGTACCCTGATAAGTAGAGATTCTTATATTCCTTCCGAGGATTACAATTAAATCTGCTGCTGTTTCCATTTTATCTTCAATTTCATTTCCTTCGATTTCTCCGAAATCGTCCCATAGAGTGAGGAGAAACTGATTTTTCCTGAGAATGTGAGGAGAGAAGACTAAGTAGGATGATAATTCCCAGATGATAACTGATGATCCGATCAAACAAACCAAAAAAGTGTTTACTTATTCAAAAACTTTTCAGAGAATGGGAAAAATAGAAGTTGAAATGTTATACTTACTGATTGTCACAAATGGTTATTTCTCGACACTTATGATGAGTGCGACCTGCGTATTTTTGAAGACCACAACGAACAACGATTGCCAGTATATCTGCTTATATAATACATAATGAAATGTTGTAAGTGTGTGTATGAGTAAATATGTATATTTTAGGCTGATAATAGCTATTAGGATGGATATACCAATTTCAGCAGCAGAATCAACCATCATATGAGGAATGCGGTCAAAGGTTGTGATATTCAGTTTGGTTGGTGGTGGAAGTGATGTCTCAAGTTCGGTAGATGGTTTGATATGTTCAATTACTGTTTCTTTGTCAAGAACCCAGTAAAATTTATGTATTGGCTTGCCGTATGAAGTTAGTGAGACTTTGACTTTTGCGGTAGAAATGAAATAGGTATTCATGAGTTTAAGCTTATCTGCATACTGCCCAATTTCATCAGCATACATAACTGCCTTAATCTGGCATTCCTGAAAGTATTGAGTTATAGAAAGGCGAGATTAAGTAAGCTCAGATTAACTATAACTACTTACCAACAGTAAACCAAGGGAAAATGTTCATATGAGGTAAAAAGAAAAAGAAGAATATTGATAAGATAAAATATAATCAGCTGACCTCTTCATCTTCCAAAATGAAAATTTGGAATCTACATTTCTTGTCAAGACTTTCTCGCGGGCGCCCGATTTCCACAATTTGAACTTTGCAAATCCAATCTCGTGTTGCTAATTCTATTCGGTCAATGTTCAATCTTAGTACCATGTTTGTACGAAATATATTTAACCAAACAGTAGTATCTTCATGATAGCATGACTATTGAGTCAAAGTTTTTTCTTTTTTGTGGTTGCATGAATAAAGGAAATTAAATTAGGAACATGCAACAACATAATTTCTCTCTAGATACTAAAAGTTAGAAAATGTAATGAAAATAGAATATGTATATTTGTAATAAAATTCGGAACATGCAAGAACATAATTATCCCTAATTTACTGAAACATTAGAAAATATAGTAAATACCCCCAAATCTGTCTGCTAACTAATAAGATTTTGCTTCTCCTTTGGTGAGAAGCAAAATCTGCAACAAAAATTGAAAATGGGAAGAGGGAAAACATGAAAAGGGGGGAAAAAAATACCTGAGAAAGGGAGCACAAGTCTTCTTCAATGGAAGCCTAATAAGTTTGTGCTCTATGAGTAATATATATATAAAAGTACAGCTGTCTTTCTTAAAAATTGATGGGGTTTTGGTAGGCAATGAAATTGTGCCAAAAAAGAGACAAAATGATTACATTTCACAGTGAAATTCAATTTTGAAGAGGCCTTGGTCTAATTATATAGTGATGTGTCTTGTGGAAATTTGATGGGTTTTGATAGCAAATGAAATTGTGCCAGAAAAGAGAAAAAATTATTACATTTAACTGCACAATTTGAGCAGCCTTTGGAGAAAAAATTATTACACTTGACTGCACAATTTGACCAGCCTTTGGTTGAAGTTTGTTTTTGAAGTCTATCTATTGTTATTCTTAAATAAACGATAAAATTTCAAATAGCAGCTAATGAGATATCATGATCATTTTATATCACAATTTAAGTAATTGGAAAATTATTTTTTTTATAGAGAAACTGAAATAAGTTTCCTATGATTTATCAAGGAAGTCAAATTCAAGATTCAATCTTGATAACAAAAGGTGATGAGTGTATGAACAGCTAATATTGTCTTAAATTGAAATAAACGTGGAAAGAAACAGTAATCATGAACGAAGAGGGTTCACTGAAAAGGGAAACGATCAATTTAGAAGATAAACTTACTGATGAAGGAAAGAGAAAGGCAAAAGAAAAACAGGATCTAACCTCTATTGCAGAAATCCTGTCCATTTCACCTTTAAACACAACTTTAGTAGAATAATTTTTGAGCATTTTAGAAAATCAGTTGATGTCTCAATAATCATATCTAGCTAGCCTCTTCATTTTACTATGATAAAATATGAGAAACAAATTTTAAGCTCAAAGACAAAATCTAATGCTAAGAGCTCGTAAATTTAAGTGCAAATAGTGAACATCTTAGAAAAGATAACTATCAGTGAAGTAAGTAAAAACTTACTGCATTTAAAACTATGTATTGACAATACGACCAACTGTTGAAATGATTACTATTTTTATTTATCAATCAACAACGTATCTGGTACATCGGAAACATTGGAGATCAATGAAATTTCTGTATTTGCCTTTAAGTTTAATATCATAAGTGCAATTGTTCAAAAATAATAATAAAAGAACTGCCATTCACCCAAAAATAGAAGGACATATGAACTGTAGTCATAGAGAAAGGAGAAGAAAAGAGGAGGCATAAACTGACGACAACTCATCCAAACCATCCCACAATGAGCGAATGTAATGGAGTTGGCGAGAATTACCTTAGAAGAGGTGAAAATGTGTACGTACTTGCAACCCAATGCCATTTGTTGGTCGTCAAAAGTCATTAATCCTGCAAAAATCAAGTAAAATCATCGAGATATAGTAATGGGATCCAAGCTTTCAACAATCAATAGAACGGAGCTCAGCGTCACAGTTGTGTTATACTGAGAACATATGAAAAGATTATAGAAATGAAGAAGTGGAGACAGAACACTAATTTTTCAAACAAATTTTCATCTTACTACTGTCAAGAGAGAGAAAAGGAGAAAAATTAGAAAGCAGAAATTGATATCCTAATAAATAGAATAACACAATCATGTTAATGGGCAAATGTATATAGCTCTTGTGTTTTTGTGTTGAAGCTTACGAAGATTTCAAGCAATCTCACAGAAGATATAGAAACGAATTAATGTGGAGTATATGAGTACAACTTGAAATAATTCTTAGCTCATCATTATCTTGAAAATGATTGAAAAAAATAGGACATTCACATGGAGTTGTGGGTTTTTATGCACCAAAAACCTGCATTTAGAAATATTAATCAAACATATGAATGTTTTCTATGTTGATTTTACGGAGTTCAAATGCATTTTGTGGGAATTCATACAGGCTTAAAAAAAAAAAGATTTCTGGAGGAAACATTTACTTGGCAAAAGGACTTGCACAGTTTGATAAGAGCTCCAATTGCAAGTTGTTGTCTGATCTCATGTGCACCATTGCCATTATTATTCACATTTGTGTGAATAAGATGAGGCTTCTGTGTTGTTTTTTTTAAGAACTCAGGCATCAAGTCAGCAACAGAGGCTTCACAATGCCATTTTGTTCTCTACTATGGTCTGCAATAATTGTATTCAGGGAGAATTCATTCAATGTTTGAAGAGTTGAATGCTGATGTGAATTTCAAACAAAAAAATGTAGTCTCTTTCTGGGAATTTTGGCATGAAAATTCTGGTTTATTTATAAACTTCCTGTACAATACCTGGGACTGACGTAAACTTGTTGTGGATTATATTGTTGATGGTAGAGGTGAAATCTAACTTTCCGATTGGAGCAACAATGTTTTACTCCTCAAGATTCCAGTTGAAATGTTTATTTTGAACAGACTGTCTAACAAAATGATCAACGACAAATGAGTGAGAAATTGAAAGAATCCAAAAAAGTTTATGAAGAAGGGGAAACGATGATATACACAGATAGCTGAAGAAGGAAAATGTAGAATATTGGAACCTAAGTTGCTCGGATTCTCGAAATCTGTTGAAAGTTAGCTTAAGAAATTAAGAATACTGAATAGGTAACAAATTAGTAAACTTTTCTACTATGCGTTAAATAAAACTGGAAACAATTGTAGATGTACATACTTATACTTACAGAATATGGGGGAAATGAATAAAAGAAAGAACAGCACTATAACATAAGTATGAGGTTTACAATGTCTCACAGGAACTATATGGATATCAATATAAAAGAAAGTAAACTACAGCTAAAAGCAGAGACCTTTACAAATTAAGGATAACAAATTACAATGTTTATTGGTCTTAGATAGGAAAATTTATTATTCCAACTTATATTTCTATAATCTCCATTAAAAATGATATAACATTATGGGTTAGGAAATTGCAGGGAAAATCGAAGGCGCCCTAAATCTCCAAGTTAGAATCTTATTACAGAAAGCCCAAAGTCAAGAGGAAGAGGAGTTGAAACAGAGGAAAAAATGGACAAGCGAAAGGAATGCCAAAAAATTCTTGTATATAAATGAATTACAAAAGGATTGCAAAGTCAAATAGTGGAAGTATAGTTAGGGAATCAAAATCAAAGCAGTAAAAATACGACTGTAAAGTATTTTCACCGGAAATAGGACGCAAGCGTGAACTCCACCAAAGTGCAAGGCCGACGACAAGAGAAGAGGAAGAGAGAGCAGAGGTGTGGAGATGGTGTTTGGTGGTTGGCAAAATTTGCAGTAGGTGTTAAGTGCTACCTTCCATGTCCTAAGTACTGAAGTAATTGCATTGATAGTAAGCCTCTGTTTCAATGAGTCGGAATGAGGTACATAAAGAATAGTCAAATTGATGTTGGAGAAAACTAAGAAACCAAGTTAGAAACAAAGACATGCGCGAGAAATAATCCTACATGTTCCTCGCGAAGTAACTAATATTTGTTGTATGACTAACATGTTCAACAACATTTTCATAAGCATGGAACAATGACCAAAGACATGTAAATTGTCAATGGGATATGTTGTTATTGCATTCTAATTGCTAGAAACTTAATTGTGTAGCAGAACATCCCAACAAATGACTTACAACAACTACTAAACTATACTCGTTACAATGTGAGTATTATATAGAGATGCAACTTTTGTCAGACAGGGAAATTGTGGTAATTAAGATAGGATAATCAGTAAAATACTCAGTTTTATAATGTTAAATTCACAATAGAATCAGTGAAAGTCCAGCTAACATGAACAATTGGTTGGAGGAACTTTAACAATGAGTATAAGTTTTGGTCTACTATGTCAAACCAAAAATAGGTCAGAGAATACTACTCGTATTCATTTTATATAGATCACCGTTTTTAACTTCGTATTTGCAATGCACATATGTACACATAACAGACAGGCGGGGAAAAGGAGAACCAAAGATGATGATTTTAAATTCGAATGATGATAAACAGAAGATGCTAAGATGAAAGCCTCTGTAAAGGGTGAGCACATGTGATTCAAAATTGCATTAAATAGCTCCCTTGTATGATCAGATGCAACAGTTGACACCTAAAAAGTACTCCGCAAGAAAAGGAATTAATAAATTGTAGATTGAAGATTATCAAGAAATATATGGTTGGACATTTATGAGGTTCAATAGCATGCCATACTGGAAGTGATGAAAGAACCTCAAAGTTTATATAGGAAGCAAACTACTGAACTCTATGTCAAGAATAGCAACTGTCAACCACAAAAGAGAGCACAATTTGAAATAGCCCTTTTGCCACAAAAGGTTCATATCATAACTTACTTGAATTTGATGACACACTGCAGCAGGCGAAAAATCTCATCCTGTGCTATTGAGACGTCTTTCTGATTCAAGCAATTGTGAATGATCATGTTAAATTACTTTCTGTAGGAATTTTCAGAAACATTATTTGAGGACTTTCGAGAAGAAGGATATCAAGCACATACCTTGACATTTGAATTGAATAAAGTAGCTTTTGCAGCCAATTGTATGATGACCACATTCAAGGGCGGCAGAGCTGTCACGGCCTTCTCTTATGCACCTAAGAATTTTCTTAAATTGTCCTGAGGCGATCTATGATGTATATTATAATGATATTAGCTTCAGAACATGAGACTTTAAGTTACATGCGAAATCATTTACTAAATTTTGTCACTTAGGAGATAGATACTTTGGGAAATCTTCCGTGGAAGTAGACACTTCAGATTTGCCATGTGCTGAAATAAAAGAAGTACAGAGAAATGTCAAATATGAAAGTTTATAGTCGTGAAAGAAAAACGTAAACATAACAGGACCAAAAGAGAGGGGAGTACCTTAGGACCTTGTTTAACACCTTTCCTAAAGGGATGGGCAACTACAGGTCTCATTACACGTGTTTTTACCTTCACTATAGGTTCATCAGGATCCTAATATAGAAGTAGTTATGAATTAGAGAAGTAAATGCCTTATGGCTGCCGAAAGCTAACAAAAATAATATGATTGTTATACTCGCCTGTTTCAAAGACACAGGAAGGATGAAACAAACTTTTCCCTTTTGGAGAAGTGACAGCTGAAGTATGAACTTCAGATGTAACAGCTAATATATAAAGATGAAGTACGTCAAAGTAGATCATGCATGTATATAATTTACATATGCATATAGAGGCATACAGCCTACAGGTATGTAAAGAGCATAAATTAACCTACTAACCTTTTGTTGACGTAACATAAGGCTCTCTTATCATGAGAGGAACTTGTAGAAGACGTCTTCTTGACTCGAGGTCTCTTGTGCGCTTTTGTAATAGTAATGTCTGGCAACATTTCCTTATATTTTTTGCGCCGATTGAATCTCATTTCAGCGGTTGTACAACGAACAAAAACAGCAGAGCAATTAAAACAAAAGACTTAGAAACTTACCAGAAGCAGATTTGAAGCAGTCAAAAAAAATAGTAGAGTATTTCTAGCCCCAAGAAGTAATGTAGTTTTCCTAAATCCTTTATCTTGAACTGGTCATCAAGGGAAACCTTTAGGGAGTTTATCTCACTTATAACTGAGTGTTTGTATCCTTTTGAGTGAAGACTGCTGCCCCTTACAGGATGCCTTGCTCAAAAATTTTAAAATGGAAAAAACCATATTAAATGACAAATGATGATTCCTTTATATCAGCAGAATTATCCTACAATTTAGATGCATAAATTAACATACTTTCTTTATCTACCAAAAAGCACAGAGTTGAGAATGTGTCAGCTCCCCTGCGTTTTAAACTATTGAAATACACTATCAAGCAGACCATGCAGTTTAAACTATTATATGATATATCATAACAACATTCTTCTGCTCAATGAACAATTCGTCTAATAATGATGGCTATTAAAATGTTATCGTTAGATTTTGATTATTGAAAAGAATATAGCATATTATTATCCCTTGTTTCATGAAGACCTGAACAAATTCAAAAGATGCGTGTTATATTGCAAGGACATAAGGAGCTTTTAGATTCTCAAAGTAGTGCAAATCTAGCAGGTAATCCTATTCCTGCTTGAAATGGATTGTAGACACTGGAGCCTCAGATGACATGATACACAATCATGCGTATTTGCATCATAAGAAATAGTATCTTATATGTGTCGAAGTTACTCATGAAGCAGTTATACGTTTTGCATGCACCAAATTGATCCAAATATCCTTAACATAGTATGTCACTTCCGACTGCAGGGTGTTCAACTATCAACGCACAAGTAGGAACACAAAATAGCTATCCACCATCTTTATGAATTGGAACACTTGCTCAGGTACATTACTGTTTTTCCATGATGCTTCAACCAAAGTTAAGAATTTCTTTTACAAGGTTAATGCGTTAATCAAACTAATTAATCTATACTTATTTATCTGAGCTTCTGGAAGTTTTTTAATTGATGAGTTGCAATATCACAATAATCAAAATTCATTAGTCCGACAGAAACAGAAATCTTCAGCAAAGCTTCAGAAACAGATTTAAAGGCTGTAGAGAAACACAAAACAGTAAAGAACAGATGGATTCGCCATTGAAATTTCGCTTAAAGGATGAAGAAGTACCTGCGCAGGTCGTCCGACACAAGCAGAAATCTTCAACAAACCTTCAGAGAGAAATTTAAAGGTTGTAGACAAACTGAAAACACTAAAGAGCAGATAGATTCGCCATTGAAGAGTTCACAAGTCGAAAGAGGAGTCGCGAGGGAGAGAAAATAGGGTTAGAAATTTGAGAAACTTGTAGAGAAAGTGAAAGGAAAATGAGAGAGGGCTTTATTGATGTACAATTAGTACTAC